AAACTGTGTGTCACAGCACTGACTAAACCAGTGGTTTCCAAACTGTGTGTCACAGCACTGACTAAACCAGTGGTTTCCAAACTGTGTGTCACAGTACTGAATAAACCAGTGGTTTCCAAACTGTGTGTCACAGCACTGACTAAACCAGTAGTTTCCAAACTGTGTGTCACAGCACTGACTAAACCAGTGGTTTCCAAACTGTGTGTCACAGTACTGACTAAACCAGTGGTTTCCAAACTGTGTGTCACAGCACTGACTAAACCAGTGGTTTCCAAACTGTGTGTCACAGTAAGCTGCTAGGGATGTCGGAAGATTTTTGCCAAATGAATAATAATTAAGAACATAAAAAAAACTACAAAAAAATATTGTATATGGCAGCAGGGGTGTCGTGCAAATCAAGTGAAGTGGGTTAGGGTGTTGTCAGTGAAAAATGTTTGGGAATCGCTGGACTAAACCCGCAAACAATGTTTAGGGAAAATACCTGTGCATTTATTTTATTTATCATCCTAGTTCATTAGGAGTTTAAAATGGTAAATGTAAAATGCTTTTACAGGCCATTGTGAACTAGGAAAATCCAGACATGATGCAAGAGGTAAGTACATCTATAATTAGGTATTAATGTAAAAAAAAGTAGTAATTCAAAGGCTGGTTGGTTAATACAGTAGCATGACATGTAGAAAGCTTCTTTTATATATGCATATTAATTACACGTGATTCTGGCATTCAGGAATGCATACAAGACAACTTATTAAGCTACATTATAAACTAGTGAGAATGTTTTCATATGTGTGTGTGTGTATATTTTTTGTTTGAAGCTACAAAAAAATTTAGTTTAAAATGTTTATAAGCATTACAAAAAGATATAAAGTTGAGCTGAAGGTAGTGTATGATACAGCTTTATAATTTGTTTGTACTTATTATTTAAAAACAATAAAAATATTACTAATGACTGGCAGTTCCTGTAAACTAATGGCAATATGTATAAGTAGAGTGAATTTATGTCAACTGTAAATTAAAGGTGCTTGATAGATATATAATATTTGGCAGAGTGAACTTTAATGCTTATAAGTCAAAAGAGATAATTATCTCTACATACATGTCAATAGTTAGGCCTAACTTGGAATATTGTGTTCTGTTTTGGTCTTGGAAGGGATAGTTCTTACAGGGAATGATTCTGGGGATAGAAAAGTTATCCTGGACATTTGTGGAAGCCAATACGACTTGACCTACATCGGTGCATTGTGTGTTTATGTGTATAAAACACTATAGCTTACTATGTGACCATCCCGGTTAAGTCAACGTGTACACCACCTTGGGTACACATTTATATTCAGATTTTCTTGGAAACAAAGGTGTTTTGTTGAACCACCCCATGGTTTGTGAAAAAAGGGAGACTACCTTTATCAAAACCTCCTGACTTGACCCATTAAGAAAGTGGGGTTTCACACACATCTGACTTGACCCATTAAGAATGTGGGGTTTCACACACATCTGACTTGATCCATTAAGAAAGTGTGGTTTAGCACTTCTGGCTTGACCCATTAAGAAAATGGGGTTTCACACATCTTACTTGACACATTAAGAAAATGGGGTTTCTCGCATCTTACTTGACACATTAAGAAAATGGGGTTTCACGCATCTGATTTGACCCATTAAGAAAGTTAGCCTGTTCTTGTTCTGTCTAGGAAATATAAAATAATTTGAGGTACAGGAAGAACTATGTGCCTGACAGATGAAGCATAGCTAACGTTGAAGTGATAAGTTATGCAGTTTGAAAATTTTTCTCACGTGTGTTTCTTGTTTTAATTATGTGATATCATACTTATTGTACAACAGCCACTAATCTAATCACTTTAGTAAATCTTTACAGTGAATTGTGTTAGCGTACCTTATTAATTTTATAGCTAATCATAGGCAAGGTAGACACTTAGTTATTTTACCATGATGGCTAAAATGTAAGTCATGTTGGTATACATGAAATAATGTAGTGATATTGGAATAATATCGGATGTGGATAATACCGTCTCTGAAAAGAACGTTTATATTACAAACTTCCTGCTTGCTTTCTTTCTTTAGTGGGTAAAACACAAGCTACATGATGATATTACCAATACATTACTGCAGAGAGCTTGGGGGTGGGACTGAAGTTTCTGTAGGGGAAGGGCCAAGGTAAAAAACTTCTTCCAGGATCCAAAACTTGTGGTCAACAACGAACGGAGGTCAGCACCTTACAATAGTATAAGAGAGAATCATTATCCCCCCCCCCCAAAAAGTGTGGGTTTCATTTTTACTTTTATGGAGTACCCTATGGCCGTTTGTTGTGTTTTTTATTTGTATGCACATGGTCATAGTTGGCTTCTTTGTTTGCGAAAAAAGTTTCTTCTGCAGATTAAACATTGGTAATATGTTTTGCAAACAAAAGTTTTTAAAGGTTTGATTAAAGTATCCAAATTCAAACTAAATTAAGTATTTTGTTATTGAAGTGCATCTAATGTATATTAGCTTATACATGAAGTATAAACATGAATGTATAAGGTAAAGTCAAGTTTGATTTGACTAGAAGCCCTTCCCTAGCTACTCGTATAATGTTCTGACAAATAGGCTTATATTTAACACTAATAATAACATACAAAATTAGCCCCTCCTTTAAAAAGTTGGGTCTTAATGTATAGTTAAGCAATTATAAATGGATGTTTAATTAGGTTTATTATACTTTAATATAAAACAGTTACTAATTGATATGGTATGAATGCATTTTTCCAATTATACTAGTCATATGACATTAATATTAGGCCTAATATTAATATGGTATGACAGATATAATTAAGGAATAACTTACCTAAAAAAAAAACTTAAAATTCATACTAATTGAATAACTTTAAGTTTCTAGTTGGGTATTGCTGTTGATAGCTTTCCAAGATAAACCTAGTAACATCTAATAAGGCTTAACCTGTTTAATATATTGACTTAAGGTATATATAATTATACTAAACAATAATAAAACTTTGTATTTCTTTTTCAGACATGTTTAAAATTGAAACAATCAACTTTTTCTTGGAATTAACAACAAAGAAAATATCACAGGTCTGAAGACTGAGAAGAATGTATTTGTATTTAAATTCATCTTGAAGTTTTGTATTCTTACAACTTGGATTAGTAGAGAGGAGCTTGATCTTATGGGGAAGATAATGGTTACATACATGAAGTCGGACAGTAAAGTTGTGCTAATTATTCTGATCATTTCTTTCACATTTTTAACTAAATTTAGACAAAATAGGTCATATATCTTGCATCAACTGCTTACATAAAAAAAAAATATTAATCTTAATAACAGCTAATTATTTTGTTTTTATAGGATTTCATTGTGTTCAAGCACCAGGAATGGTAATGGAGTTTTTTGATGTACTAGAAAAAAACAAAAGTTATGTTTGTGACATCTGTCATAAAGCTTTTACGGAAAAAGCAAAACTGAAGAGACACCAGAGTATTCATCAGGATGTACGAAAGATGTATCCGTGTGATGTATGCTCAAAGTCATTTACTTGGAAAGATAATCTGGAAAGACACAAGAGACGTTTCCATAGAAAACACTTTCAGCTCTGAATGATAATAATTTACCTAAAATATATTCCTGTTTGTTACCATTTTTCACATTTTATTCGGATCTCAACTGAAAGGCAATTTCAAATACAAAAAAAATTCTTGCTTGTCCATGTTTAGGCACGGATTCTTAAAAAATAGTCAGGTGCAATGTATTGGGTAGAATCCATTCATTCAATTGTATGATGTGCAGAACAGAAATATCAGTAGAGCAATTCTAAAACGTATTTTAAGGTTCCTTTATAAGTATTTTTTACCAAATTATTTTGGTAAATTCTAAACAATAACTGTAACATAATAAAATATCTTTTTTTATTGGAGTTCTTTACATTAGAAAGAAGGCAAGGGTCGTGTTTTTAAAAACTATTAAAGAGACCAGGAAATATTATTTTTGGTAAATTATTAAAAACTCAAACCAGACAAAATTTCTTTATTTGTAGTTTTACATAATGTTTATTAGCGTAAAAATATATTTAAAGTGTTAACACAGATGATTATAACTTCAAATTTGTTTTTTTCCCCATTATCTTTTAGACTGATTATATAAGTAAAAAAATAATAAACCCTATTGCTGTGATGATGATTTTTGTTTAGAACAGTTGAAATTTGTGATTTTTCTGTTAGGAATTATAGTGTAGCAATTATTATTTAACAAAGTAATGGCTCATCGGTAAGTCTAAAGGTTTGTAACACTAAAAATCAGCTTTTGATACCTGTGGTTGGCATGGCACAGATAGCTTAGCTCTGTGTTTAACGATAAACAAAATCAAACAGTGCAATACATTCTCTTTTTTTTTTAGCTAAGTCTCAAACCTTTGCTTTAATCTTTTGATAACTATTTTTCATATTAATAGTGAAATTTTATTATTGATTAAAAGCAGTTAAGTTTTTCATCCCATTAAACTTTTGTAAAAACACTAATTTAATACTGTTCATGCCAAACTTTACAGATACATTTATTACTCACATTTTCTTTTACCTTGTGTTTCTTCACTATACTATATCTTAATTTAATGTCTTTCTGAATTTTAATTCCTACAATTTCTTATCCTAACATTTTTGTGAAAAAGAAATTATGGAATGGTTCAGTTCCTTATTGTTAAAGAAGCAAATAATGCAAGTTTCAATAAATATTTATAATCATTGAATTTTGTTTTTTGCTGAAGCGACTTGTTTAAAAAAAAAAAAAACAATTTTATCATAAGAATGAAATAAAATGATTCATGTACTTATTGTTAAATTTGTCATTGTAAACTAGTAATATGTGAACAGTACCATTATTTGAAATGTTTTATTAATAAGCCAGTCATATGATTAGTTTTTTGTTGCCTGTTTTATAACCTAGTAACTTTGCATGTTTTTGTTTTTTTCTATTTTCGCATATGAGATCGTGTAACAACTCACTGGAAGAATAATAAATATTCTCTGTTGTCCAATTAAATATGTGATGTATCGTTAAAATCACTACACACACACACACATACCACAATGTTTATTTTTTTAACTTCAGTTCAAGATATTTTACCAGTTAATATTTGTATAGCTAAATAAATTTAAATTTTTTAAATTCCTTTTATTGCTGTTAATTTTGTGTGTGTTTGATAAAAAATAACTTCAATTAATTTTGTACAAATGCTTGCAGTATTATTTTAATTTTAAATTAACAATAGATACACAGTTCTTCTTTTGAGTCGTTGTTGAGTTTAAAATAAATTCAAAATATTGACATATAAAGGTTAATACTCAGAAAGTGTTTTGAATTTTAATTTGAAAGATTTAATTCCATTCATAAAGATGCTTTTAATTTGATGTGTTTGTCTGTCACACACACACATATATAGAGTGTCCTGTAAGTGATTTAAATGCAATTCACTGATTTAGCTTTTGTGCCTCAATTTAAAGTATTAAAGAAGAAATTGATAAAAGTTTTGAAGACTGAAGGTACTATGGTATCATAAAAGATGTTTTTAGGAATTTTCTGATATTTAGTGCTGTTGTATATCCTGTATTTCCTTCAGCTTTTTAATTTTCAGCAAAACTCTTTATTGATTGCTTCTTTAATTTTCTTTCTGTTTCAGCAAGTTACTCACCTTGGATGAAAGAGAGTCGGGTATACTTGAAAGAAGCTGGTTTTGGTTTGTCTAAAGACTCTGGTCGTAAGTTTCAGTGTAACGTGTGCTGTAAACTGTTCAGAACCAAAGAACTTCTCAAACAGCACACAACAAGTCACGGAGAGAAGGTGCACCAGTGTCCCTACTGCTCAGTAAAGTTTAAATGGAAGAAATGTATAGCTAGTCATCTTCGGAATGTTTGTACAGGACGTCTTCGGAAAGACGTGTAACATTATCGTACTGTAAATAATTTAAATCAGGTAGCAGTAATGTTGAGCTACGTATGCCGAAATAGATTAAAAAAAAAATGTCTAGAATCGTTAAATCATAAAAATTGCAAATTTAAAATTTTTTATTGTCAGAATTTATTAATTATGTTGCACAAAGCAGTGTTATATTCGAGGCTCGTAGTTTATTTTTATTTTTTGAAATTATGTTGATGTTATTTTAAAGTTGACACTATGAAAGACTCCTGTACAGTTTCTCTTTCCATGTGTTTTAATTCTTTTTACATTTTGCTCTTCTGTACATCTTGTACAGAACTCATTTCAATTACATTTGTGTTTATCATGTAGCTCTTTGTACAAAGGTGATGTGTTAATATCATTGGATTGATATTTCATTAAATTACATCTTGATACTCACATATTAATTATCATTACTTTTGGAATTACTTGTATGATCTTCATTTTGCACATGTGCTTACATATTTACACTACAGTAAATTACTTACCGAGAGAGAGAAACGTAACAAATACATTTGAAGTTTCATATACAAAGTAAGAAGTTCGTACCTGTAGTTCATAACTGAAAAATGTTTATTTCATATTTTTTAATGGAAAATTTGTAAGACAGAAATTTTAGTAGTTTACTTAAGTGTATCATCTTGTAAAAAGAGCACATTTTAGATTCTATTCTGTTCTTTAGAATGTTTTGCAAAACCCTGGTTCTCTCTTTAACTCCTATCCTGCAAACTGTGATGACAAGTAATTATTTTGAACTTGTAACAGTGGTTCTAATAATTATCTATATGCTTTTGTCCTGTCAAATACAATAAAAAATACAGTTTTTTTTTACTGTTATTTCTGAATTTCGGCAAGTTGAAATTGTAATTAAAACTAAATAAATGTGAATAAATTTACATATAAACTAATTAATAGAGCTTGCTACTATCAATTATCCAGACATATAGAATTTAATGGAAATTAATTACTACCTAATAAAAGTCAGAAAGAAAATGATGATTAAATATATATATATATATTTTTTTGTTAAAGAGTGTGAAATAGAGCACTTGAACCTTCTATCAAGTACTGAATTTCTTGTACCCACTAAACACATCTTACACAAAATTTTTAAATAATCCATTGGATAATGGAATGTCTCGTATGATTTAGTTCAGTCCTTTCTATACACTAGTGGTTTCTAAGAGTGAGTAAAGTCGTTTAAAGATCCAACTTTTAGTGGATACATGAAACTGAAATTTCACTCAAGTTTTTGTCTATATAATAAATTTCAAGAGCACTTTTATTTCTTCCTTTATGTAAGTATTCATTTCACTGAAGGCTGTTTCTTTCTTAAGGTTTTTGTAATAAATAGAAATAGAAAGATATCAAGTATAAATCACACTTACAGAATTTTTTTCATACTTTCAATAAACGTCACGTCTCCATGTTCACAATAACTACATGTTTTGGTGGACAACATGATCCTCCAATGTTAGTGTCGTAATGGTTATTGAAGATTTTAAGGTTGTTGGGAATGCTTTTTTTTTTTTTTATGATGTTCATGTTTTACAGTACTGTTAAAAATGTTTAGACATGTCAACATTTTTTTTCAGTTTGGGTTATTTGTTATGTTTTAACCTTTCTAGATCATTGATGTGTTTGTAAAGATAACATTATAACCATATTTATTTTATTACTGAACCGTGGAAAATACGGACACCACCATCTTTTCTGTCTTGACCTAGTGACAACTTTCTGTGGTGTCATAACTTTTAGTTAGCATTGCTGTTTGTAATATGGTACCTTTTAAGGGTTTTCTTATGAGGTAGCTATACTGAAATTATTTGTTTTAGTTTCCAATCCTGGACTAGGCTGGCAGAATCTAAGAATTACATGTGAAATTTGCTTGAAAACATTCAGTTGTAAGTCTTCGCTACGAGTCCATCGACATTATCAGCATATCAGAAAGCGCAGCTTTTCCTGTCACTTGTGCGGTAAAATTCTATCAAGGAAACAGTCCTTAGACAGACACATACGATCTTTTCATCTTGGAACGGATGAACTTGCTGATAACAGCATCGAACACCAGTGTTGATACAGAGAAGATAATCTTTGTTTTTTTATTCCATGTCGTCTTTTTTATTATATATTTACTGTATATATATATATATATATGCACATTGTAAATAAATCCCTTCTTTTACGCTGTTACATTCATGTAGTATCTCACAGTTTTTTAATAAAATATCTTAACATTGGAGTTGACTTTTCGACTCTAGTTATTGTTCTAAGTTTTCAAATTCATAAAAAATAAATATTCAAAAACAAAAAATATACACACAACGTACATTTTACTTTAATTTAATTATCAGTTATTTTTCAAGTATTTTTTTTTCTATTAGGTGAGTGAAACTAAACAATAGTACAATATAAATTAGGTTTCAATCAAACTGTTCACAAAGTAGTTTAGCTTTAAATTGAAATTAGCAGAAGGTATCTTAGGGACACAAGAATTTCAAAAATCTTTAATGGCAGTTTTCTTTCATCTACACCAAACTAAATTTGGAAACCTTTTCACTTGTACATGTTACATTTGTTCTCACGTTCTCTAGTTTTTCCCAAGTTAGCTTTGTTAGATTTAGTCTTCTGTTGACGATCTGAAATGTACTTTCACATATTACATTTGTCCTCTGATCCATAAAAATTATAATTGTTAGTTGTTTTATTCTGTTGAGGATTTGAAATGTTGCACCACTTTCTTTTTTTTTTTTACAGGTAAATCAGTTAGAAATTTCAAAAGTGTGTATCCAAGAAATTCATCCCAGCACTCAGCATATGAAATTGAAAAAATAAACTTAATAACTTTTTGTTCAGTTTGTAATAAAAATTTTTCCAACCGTTCAAACTTTAATCGTCACTTATTAATTCATACTCGTGGCAGACAGAAGTTTCACTGTTCTCGGTGTGACAAGTGCTTCAGCTGGCCAGGTGACCTTCAAACGCACTTGAGGGTTCAGCACGGACAGACAAGAAAAGCTCTTGGTCATTGAAGTTCTGGAGGCATTAGTTGTTTGGTTTGGAAAAACCTTCTCAATTCTCATCTTGTTGCATTGATCTGCTATTATATGTCAGTTTCATGTGTTGTAATATAAATGACAAACATTCGAATTGTTCAAGATTATTTGCTTTTCTTTAAATTGCTTACATTACATTGTTATTTTTTCTTGAATACAATGTACATTTTTCTAGTTTTATAGTGACAGTAAATACCACTGTATTGTTACTTGAATCGTTTATAATTTGTAGGATATAAAGATGTGCAATTCTTATTGGCTAAGTTAATTACTGTTGAAATTTTCTTTCCAAACTTTTTTGTGACACTTATTGCACGAAGTGATTACTTATGATGCTAGTAATTATATCAATTTCTGAAGAAGAATTGAATATATTTAAAGAGGTCGTAATTGTTGATTCTCTAAAGTTCACGAGACCTGATTTACGTTTAGATCGATGTGGCTGGTATAAGTTTCTGAACTTTCTTCTCACTAAAGTGCTGTGTGTACAAACCTGTGTTACACGTGTAACTTATTTGTTGTATCTTGTATATCATCAACATGTCATTCTGGGGAATTCATGAAACATGGAAGTCGTGTGTGTGTTTTAAACTTCATTGACCTTCACTTTTGTGAATGTACTGGTAATAATTTTAGTGATTATCTAAAAACATCATTTCAGGAGGTTAACAGGTAAAGTATACTTTATTCAGTACATGTAAATTATTCAGTTCTAAGAATATTAAAAAAAATTGTACTCTGATTCATTCATGACTTTTCATTATTGTGTGATATATATATATATTTTGTAAGTGATATATTACCATGTATATATGTATGTGTAAGCTTTTATATCGCACGATTGTGGTTAGGGCACTCGACTAACAATCTGTGGGTTATGAATTTTAATCCTGTTATTCATATGTGCTCGCCCTTTTAACCATGAGTGATATAATGTGACAGTCAATCCCACTATTTGTTGGTAAAAGAGTAGCCCAAGAGTTGGTGATGGGTGGTATTGATTAGCTGCCTTCCCTCTAATCTATCACTTAAAAGTTAGGGACAGCTAATAGAGATAGCCCCCAATTAGTTTTGTGCAAAATTGAACAAACAAATCAAATGATTTGGTTTAGCATAATGGTACAGACTAGATCATAATTCATTGAGGTTTTTAAACTGCGGTGCTTATATGAGACATATACTTAATGATTACATAAAATATATTTTAACTGCTGTAACCATGGGTGTCCACGTGAAGAGGCAGAGGGGGGGGGGGTCACTTGACCCCTTGGATTTTCAAAAAGAAAAAAAATTACTAGATTTGTAAAACTATTCTCCTATGTTATTGGAAAAACATAAGGTATTTGTAATTACAGGGGTATTAACAGTAGTATGATTAGTATCTAAATTATTTTTATTTCTCGTCGACACAGTAATTTAGAAGATATTTTAATCGAATCATAGTTTTATATTTATTCAGCCCATGCCAAAAAAATGGCGACTTCCAGTCTTCCATAGAAGAAAACTATTTCGATTTCATAATTTTTTCAAACTTGAGTTACTTGACCCCCCTAATTTATTTTCTGCAGGCACCCTTGGCTGTAACACAAGTTAACAAAAAAGAGGATAATTTATTTGGCAAACATAATACTGGAGGATTATAATTTTATTGTTATCGAGTTTGAAAAAAAAAAGTCTCTTAAAAGTGGAAAAGCAAACTTTTAAAATAATGTATGTTATTGCTTGCAAGCATTTTTAGAAGCTTTGTACTGCAGAGTTAATGTTAAGCTACAATTTTGTTTAACAAAGTAGTTATTTGTAAATGTTTATCTGTAATAGCACACAAAACCTTTTTGTTTGCTTGGATGAAATGTTTAAATACGTATCATACGTTCTTGGTTTTGATACATTTTGATGTGCTTTTTTTTTTTCTAACAAAAGGGTTTATTTTTTAAGCAACATATTTCTGTGAAGTTAATGTTTTAGTAAAGTAAGAAATGTGTAACAACTAGAAATAAATGTCTCGGAAGACACCCAACAACATAAAAAAAGGATATTGCTCCACAGATTGAATTTTAAGGGTTAGGGTGATATATGTTAATAACACATTTAGAATTGTGGCACGTCTGAGACTAAAGAAAGAATAATGGTGTTTCGTGACCAGGTCAGGACAAAATATATTACATATTAAACTCCTTTTGGTTTAACATTGTGATTATTGTAATTGGGTTGTAAAACAGTTTTTATGAACTTATGTAAACATAATGTATTATGTACTTCATTTCCTTTTTAAAATATTTTAAAACTTAAATTGATAAAAAAAAATTATCTAAGCATTTTAATTATCATTATAGAACTCTTAATTGTTTCTTCTTTTGTTCTCGGAGATACACTTGGATATAGCATGTGTTTTATTGTGTTGTTTAATGCTTGTCAAGGTGGTACTAATGATATACTTTTCAAATATGTTACATTTACTGTTCGAACACAGTACCAGCCAAAACATTGTGATTAACACACAATATACATACACATATTATTGAAACATAAGTATAGTAGGTATTGTTTAACACTTATCAGGTGGCACTAATAGTATATTTGTATTTAACATAATAAAAAAAAATAGTATTTTAACACAGTGACATACAATAATATAAATATATATATATATATACCTTGTTGAACCATAAGCAGGTATGTTTAATGCCTTTAACGTGGCATTAATGGTGTTTTTATACATAATGGATTATTAAATAGGAACAATGATGTATTTTAATACAGTGACATGCCAGGATATTAGGCTTAACATAAGTATATCTGAACTGAGGGCCTTATTTTAAGAAAAGCCCTATGCCAATCTCAACAATAACAAGTAGTCATCAGTGCTTAAAAAGTATCATCAAAAGTCATGCTTTCAATTATTGTGTTTTTTTTTGTTGTTGTTTTTTTTACTCGGTATAAAATTTCTTTCTTAAACTGTCAGCTTGAATTGCTACTGATGATTTGTTTGGGAACACTAATTACAAGTTACTGAAAGCTAACTAAGATAAGTGAATTACAGGTTATAGGTATATAAGATTTGTACGTATGTTAAATCAATACGAGATCTGTGAAATTAATATGGAAACATTGTTTTGGAACACACTCGGTAACAAGAAAATCATGTAGTGTGACAGAGCAACAACTATCTTAAATAACATAAGGCCAATGTTTTGTCATTGCAACTTGTGTTAAAACATGTACAACTTTCTTGATATCCAGACGTGAACTCTTAAGATTCCTTAACTTTTAAGAACAAGTACCTAAAGGATTAAACCTGTGAAACCTAGCACATAATTTGGTTACCTTGGGAGCTGTCACGTATGGAGAAATGTCCAGAGTTTCTGTTGATATGCTTCATCAGATATCACATAGTGTAGTTTGTATAGCTCAGTGTTGAGGCAGGAATACCTGAAACAGACTATATTGGATTGATTTTATGTTAATTATCTTGCACGAGTCTTGACGAGTTACCTGTTCTTCACACAGAAAGAGAGAAAGTTATGTTTATTTTCAGTACTTATGATATCCTACTGATAGATTTATCAGAATTCATCCTGGTTTTGTAAAAAAGAAAATGAAGTATTGCTTTGAAAACTTTATTTCTTTTGATGATTTTTATTCTTTGTTATTTCTCATTATAGAATCTTGAAAAATAATAAATATTACTTAATGAATATGTAGTTGTTGTGATTTTGTTGGTTTATTTCAAACCTGAAAGGCAAAATACCTTTTCTTTACAGAGAAAGAATTGGACAGTGTTTTATCAAAAAATTCTTGGATCAACTGGCAGAAGACAAGTATTTCTATTGAAGATCATAATATCCCTTCAGTTATAGCAGACCTAAAGACAATAAAACATCACCAAGTTACCATTCCTCAAACTGAAAAGAAGCGCTATCCTCAGAGAGAGTGTCGTGTGTGTCGGTCTCATGGAAAACGAAGAGACACTCGCTTCATGTGCCAAGAGTGTGGTGTGGGACTGTGTGATGGGAAATGTTTTGAGTATTATCATCAACCAATGAAATGTGGAATCCCAGATCAAGCTTTACCCTTTTGCTTATCTTTTGATCGTTAAAAACTGTAAATTATTAGTTTTACTCTGTTTTTGTTTGAATAGCCTGCTAATTCCTACTTGTAATATGATCATTTTTCCCACTTGTATCGATGTATGAATATCTCTGGGTTTTTTCTTACTATATATAGTTGAGTAGCATCAAGGTACCTGCAATATTTTTAATTGGTTATATGGTTTTCTGATTTAACAAAATTTAAGGTCAACAAGAAACTTGTCAGTCCATTTAAGCCATGCTATCCACTAAAGTCAACCTTAAGTTAAAATTAAAACACTCAAAGCCAGCCCTTATTCAAATATTTATCAAGCCTTCCTTTAAACTCCATAAAATTTACTGCAATTGCCATATCTAAAGGCAACTCATTCCAAAGACCAACCACCCTGTTAAATAAATAAAATTGTCTTAGCTGAAGATGACTCCTACCTTGCCAAAATTTATACTTGTGTCCCCTAATTTTACTATTCCCACCATTAAGGCCAAAGAAGGATGATGCATCAGTACTATCAATTCCTTTAATTTTAAACACATCAATACTGTCAATTCCCTTAATTTTAAACACATCAATACTATCAATTCCCTTAATTTTAAACACATCAATACTATCAATTCCCTTAAT